CCTCAGTGAGGACGAGAAACTTGAGGAGAGGAAATAGTTGGTAAAAAACGTAGATAATCGTACAGGATACAAAGAATTATCACTAATCTTCGTTGTGATACATGTTTGCTCTCGCTAGAGCCTCCAGTGTCCCAAAGCCTTCCTCCTCCCCCGCCGTCAGTGGTTGTAAAATGAGCGGCCCGAAACGGGCGAAGGGGGAGGTGCCGCCTTCCGCGCGTCCTCCCGCGCCTCGGCCACTTTGGCTAGAATCTCTGCCTTGAAGACACGACCTGTGACAGACGGTTAGAGGAGCCAGACATCACGAAGCCAACTTACGACGGCACCAGCAGAGGTATCGCTCCTCGGGATCCGAATCGTTGATAAACTTATTGGGTATGTAGAACTCAAACTTCTCGCGGGTCAAGGTCGGACCCAGGGGCTGCGTCTGGTGGGTAAAATCGACAAGTCGCTGACGCACTGTTGAAAGGGTTAGTCATTATCACTGCAGGCCCGAAGGAACGATGAGAACGCACGATATCGATCGAACTCGACGCGGCGCAAATCATTCCCGCGATAAGGATTGACGACGGTGAAGCAAAAAAGCTCCCCGGCCATACGGTCCATCGAGGCAGGCTGCCCGTTTGACGCCGAGAGCAGGACTTCGTACTCCCTGAGCTCCTTCGCCTTGTGCGCTAACGTAGCGCGCCACTCATCGTCCACGTCAAAGCTGATACGAAACTTGGTTGCGCACTTCTTGCAGAGGGCAAGATACCGCGCTAGTTTCTTGTGGTGGCGAATAGGCGAATACAGGACTGGTTAAAGATTTGTAAACGAAACAGCCGGCTGGAGCGCGAGATAAAGGTGAACACACCTGCTTCTTGACTCAAGTCATCCAGTTCCGTCAGTATCCGGTTCCTCTCGGCGGTCCACGCGGGGTCGGCAATCTGGGGAAGAAGCGGCCCCAACTCGGCCTCGTAGTTGTCGCCTGCAAATAACAAGTCAGCGCGATCGTCGGTGGTGAGTGGCGCAATGCGTGCGCGCGCAAGTGTAAGCGGACAGGGCGTCCACGAGATTTTGCAAAAGCAAAGGATTTGGCAGCCACAGTACTTGAGAAACGAATCAAATTTCTGGGAGAAGATCACCCAGAAACCTTGCGGGCCATGGGGAATCTTGCTAGGACATATCTTGAGCTAGGAGATCTTGCAAAAGCCGGAGAGCCTGTAATCATAGTGCACGAGAAGTTTACCAGACTTCTGGGAGAAGATCACCCTGAAACCTTGCGGGCCATGGGCAATCTTGCCAGGACACATCTTGAGCTAGGAGATTTTGTGAAAGCCGCAGAGCTTGCAGTCATAGTGCATGAAAAATTTACCAAACATCTGGGGGAGGACCACCCTGACAGCTTGCTGGCAATGGAGAACCTTGCGAGGACACATTTTCAGCTGGAAGATTTTGAGAAAGCCAAGGAGCTTGAGGTTGCACTGCTGGAAAAGCGAAAACAGTGCTTAGGAGCCAAGCATCCCTCTACAACCCTTAGCATGAAGAATCTGGCATCTACATACCGAGCACTTGATATGTTGAGGGAGGCGGAAGGGCTTGAGCAACTTATTGAGGACAATGAGAAGTTGTTGTAGGTTGTATTATTTCCCATTTGGAACGGGGTTACATTCTACTTCTCTTTGTCTGGTTACATTGTTATTATTATGTACTGCTTGTTTTAGTTATATGACAGAGTTGTCACTTGATGTGTAGGGTTAGCCTTACACCTAACGACTACAATGCTCCTTGTTTCTTCAATAAAACTTGAATTTACTTAGTTCGGGTGCTTCAGATTAAGTTCCTCTACCCTCATTACACTTTTTTTATGAAGTCCTACTGGCTCTGCTTGACACAGTGTCGCAGTAGCGAGTTCTGCTCTGGTAGACAGTGTTGGAAGCTGACTAAACAAGCCGAACCGTGGGAAGGCCTATAGCCTTTACCATTTCTCTATATCTCGGGCTCCAGACAACAAGCCTGGCCTCAGTCAGCAGCTCGGGCACCCTCAGTCAGCAGCCCCGGGCTCAGTCAGCCTCTAGGAATTTTTCCCATCTGTATTCACCACTTGTATAAATACTCCATGTAAATTCCCTATTAAATCATTATCTTCGAGTTTCCCCTTCTTTTATTTGCTCTACCTTCTTCAGACAGAAAGGTGGGTCGGTCGTCCGAGATATGGGGTGTATGGGCGAACTGGAAAATGAAGGATAGGTCCCAGGAGTGTCATACAAATGGGGATTTGGTGTGCTAGAGGTTGTTAACAGGGTGGAATGTATTGAATGAGGCCCAAACAGGCATAATGGAGTGGTTCACTAACGGTTCAGAGAGAATTTAGCAGGGAACGACTTGAATTACACTCACGAATTGTCTATAGCCGTTTACGGCGGCTGGTCCCCGCCCGTAAATGGGTTTTGGCCTCACCCTTGACGGGACAGAACGGCACCCTGTTTACGGCCCCCGTCTGACCTGTAAAGATGGTGACAGTGTCCATCCCTAGATGTACGGGCAACCTCGAGGCCCAAGAATACTCAAGAGTCCTAGCGAGGCAGATCCAAAGCATATAAATAATGCACACTAGATACAGGAAGATATAACACACCTAGCAGGGCGGATCTAAAGAGAAGAAGCTCTGAGGATTCCCACGCTAGGCTGCAAACATAAACAGCGACTATACAGAGATACGTGACTGGAGTGATAGGCAGAAATCCCAGGCTTGATCGCACACACGGTGCCATTAGGAAGTGTTATGTACTGTGTCATGGGAGCGGGGATGAAGGAACAGTCGGCCGAGGACAGCGGAATAGACTCCAAAGTTACCGGAATCACGGAGTGGACACCGAGGTACCGGAGTCAAGGAGGAGGGTCGGTGGAGCTGCTTGACACAACACCACTGAGGTGCAGGGTGATCATATACTGCGAGGAATTGTCGAGACAAGAAGGACAGAGTCAGGAAGAGTCAAGGAGTTGACCAGAGCGATAGGCACCACTTCGGAGGGAGGGAAGTGACATTTATTAAACTACTGAAGAACAAGAAGTAGAGTAGACTGATTAAATAGTGTAGGAACCTAATATAATGTAAAGGAGATAATAGGGATGCATGTGGAGGTACATGTGCTTGAAACAATAGGACGTCCGAAAGCGGAATGACAAGTCGGATGGAATCAGCAACTTGATCTCGGATAAAAACATGAGGCAATAAACATAAGCCATGAGGCTTGTTGAATCAAGGAGTTGCATGTGGGGTGAAGGTTACCATCAATACTTGTTCCTTTGATAGCTAGAAACCACACACTGAGCGAGTCTCCGAGGTCCCGGTCGGTCTCTGAACCTCGGAGCGGACCTGAGTGAGGCGAATGATGCCGGAGTGTGTGGGGTGTTGAAACGGAGCTTGGCGCACAGATATAACAGGAAGCATCAGGCTGACCGGAGTGGCATGGAATAGGGGTTCCGCTGATACTAGAAACATTCACAAAATGCCGCCAGGTAGAGAGTAGCACAAATATGAATATTCACTGAAACCTATAAATTGATATTCGCATTCGTACAAATATTGATGGTGAATATTTGTTGCTTAATTAGCAATATTTATGAATATGAATATTCAGCGAATACATTGAGAATTTGGGGTTTAGTAGCCGCCAATGAGTTGCTGAGGACACTGTTATGTTACATTGTGAGTTTAAACATTGTCAGAAGACTCATACAAGTTTTTTGTTTTGCATATTCAAATCATTTGATTGACCATCATACTTGCCACTGTTCAACCTGTCAAGCAGTTGTCGAAGCAAATGCATCTTTCTTTCAAGTGGTTGGTTTGCATATAAATTACAAATCTAGTTAGTGCAAATGAAGTGTGTTATGGTTTCAGAGAGGAGATGTGTTAAACAGACCCAAATTTACTATGTTTAATTGAAATTTTAGCTGTATATTACAGCTGCAAATATTCGCGAATATCAACTTTCTTAAAAAATGATATTCACATTTGTACGAATAGCACAGCCACAGTCCTTCGTGAATATGAGTATTTGCTATTTTCAAATGGCTTGACACGAATATTCGTGATATTTGCTATTCGTGCTAGACTCTACCGCCAGGAGGATTGAAACCACCTCCCTCATAGGTTTTCTTGAAGACAATAATTGAATGAGGATGCTGTTATGGATACCGGGATCCTTCGGATCCGGCAGTAGGGCATGCAAGCTCTCAGAGCACGCAGGGATGGAGAATTATAATTGGTGGTACTCTCAACCAATGTCAAAATAAATGAATAATAGCTTGGTATTGGGGCCAAAATCCCTATATAAACCAACTATGGTCTTATGTCACTGTTATATCCAGGTTCGGAGCAGGGATATGGGCCAGTCGCCGGAGAGCTGAGAAAAAAGATCAAGGTGTTCCGGTCAAGACCGAGACCACAAGTGGTTCAGAGTGAGGGGGAGACAACCGGAGTAACACAATGCCACAGTACAGAGGGCGAGTGCACTACCCGCTACCAGCGGAACGAGCGAGGAAGACGGGGGGATTCGAGTACTTGGAGACCGGAGTGAAACCCAGAAGTAACTGTAGAGGGCAGAATCAACTTAATAATTGAACTGAAGAACAGGAGTGTAGTCTAGGGGATTAAATAGTAAAGTACTCTATAGTAAAGGTGTAAGGAGATAAATAGTGACCATGTGGAAATACAATAGAAACAGATCACCACATGTCGTTGGGAACGACAGAGAAGAGATGTAAGCCATATGGTGATGAAGGAGCATGTGGAAAGAAGTAGTAACCATATGGATTACCTCTGGAATGAGGCAATGCATTCAGATAGACACACATTGCAAAGGTAACAAGTCTCCGAGACTCTCTGGTGTGAGCTATCACTTTGTGATATGCTCGGAGCACCCTTCTATCAGGAACTTTACGGGAAGAATATGACACGCCGGATCAACTGCTTGACGAAAATGCGCCACCAAGAAAAAAGCGCCTCACTAAAAAACAGGCCCAGCCTCGAATCGAACGAGGAACTCGCACATAATAACTGGACAGACGTCTTATGTCGACTGCGCGCGTTACCATTACGCTACTAGACCGTATCAGCACAACTTGATTCCCTTGAAGAGGCATGACAAATAACAAAAAGGCGCCACAACCAAAACCAACGGTGTTATGGCTGGAAGGACAGACCCCGAATTGAACAAGGGTAGCGGGTTCCATGCATAATCAAGACACCTGCGCACTAACCACTGTGCTATCTGACCAGATACCAAACCACTCAAGGGACGACAACAAACACTAGAAAGAGCACTTAACAAAGGACGTGCGACTCGAAGGGAAAAGGCGTGCAAGGGCGCCACATGGATGCTATTTGAAAGGAAAGGTGCCGAGCACTGTTTTAAGAAGAAGGCGCAGGGCGCCATGAAGAAAGGCGCAAGGCACCGCACTGTTTAAAAGAGAAGCCGCTTTGAAGAAAGCCGCCAGAGATGGATGAATGGGGAAGCAGGAAATGGTATATAAGGAGCGCGCGGAGAAGGGACAAGGCATCTAATTACTTCCACTGCAAACTGCTAAAGGAAAGGTGCTCCCAGTACATCGGGAGGCGCCAATCCTGTACTTCTGTCAAATCAATTATATTAGTTTGCCTTCACGAGAGTGGGGATAACCAGGTCATCTCGACCGCAGTTGTTCATACAGGAATTGTGCAAGACTCCTCCCAGCCAAGAAAGGAGGCCATTCGGAATAACGACGTTGAAGCGCGCGCTCTGTTGAAGAAAAGTGCGGTGCGAACCTCCAAACAGCCAGCAGCAGACCTTTCAGGCTGCGTGTAACTGTTGATTTCAGCACTCATAACGCGCTATTTGCGTGCGTAGGGCGCACACATCGAGAAGGCGCCTCTACCAACTCAACTATACCACTTCCCCCACCCATTTTGGCGCACTTCACTCGACTACACCGCAAATGGGTAGCGATGTTTTTCGGGCCTTGATGTCGGGACGAGCCCTGGGTTCCAACAACGATGTTCACTGGGAGCCAGTTTGCGCTTGCGATGACCACAATCAGAAAATCAATTTGTGGCTATTATGATGCCAAACGTCTCGATGACCTCCCGCGAGAAAACCGCAAGTTGATGTAAAGCTACAAACATCAGTATGATATTCTAGCACGATCCCATTGTATGGTCAAATAGCTGCCAAGGTGGCATGGTTGCGGGGCCAGCCTGAGCAATTTGGCTCATTGAATGAGTATCACATATGTGTTACTTGGGTGACTTCGACGGGCTTCGGAGTATCTTGTGACATCGTCAAATCAAGCACAGAATGAGAAGGAACGGGCATGGGGTAAAGCATAAGCATATAGCATACACATATATAATCATACACAATTTAGTACACTACACTAATCCGACGTTGCAGGATTCTCGGTGTCCACCTCTTCAATCCTACGTTTCTTGGTCGATGGAGCGGGGCGGATGTTCTTAGTGTGCGTGGCCAACGTCGTCTGCCAGGCAGGCGTCTCCATTTCGGCGGCATTGTACTCTGTATCTTCAGGTTTTCCGAATTGAGCCTTGTCCTCCTCGTAGATGGCGCTGAAACATCTGATGACACTGTTAGAGTAGGGCACGACATGAAGGGATGCAACAGCATACTGATCAAGTTCCTGATCCGTAATACTATCCCTCCGCAAGTCGGCGATGGTCTTGTCGACTCCGAGCGGCCAAAATTCATCATTGGTAAGGTGGGGGTACCTACGAATACACTAGCGCTGAAAGAAGAGAAGATTATTGCTGTTTGCATAAAAGTTGGCACAGCCACGATTTTGATCCGTTTTTGATGCGCTTCAAAGAATGAATTGTTTCTCAATCATTTCTTCACCGATTTGGCTGAAACCATACTCAAAATTCACCATTTTCGAAGCCGCATTGAATGACCTAGGTTTCGTAGTCTTACACCAGATTTTTATAATATCACTTTTCTTGAGCCGGGCTTCGGCGCATGGATTTACACCGAAGGCATAGCGGGATGTGAGAAAAGTTGAAAGGAAGGAATGGTAGATATACTACTTGCCTACACCCTCGTCAACTTTGAGACCAATCCACCCCGGAATGGACGCGTCGCGACGCGTCGAAGAAGCACCATCAGACGCGTCACTCGGTAACGCGTTACGCGCTTCTTGTCTCTTCCCGCGTACATGTCCAGCAAAAGACGAGTCGAGCCCGACGCTCCGGCCAAGAGGCCAGTTGGGCGACCTTCGAAGAAGGCTAAAAAAAATCCCGCTGCCTCCGAAACACCTAAACTTACCCTGATTCTTCCTCCTACTACGCGTAAAAAAGCCTCCACTTCTACTTCTGCTGCTGCGTCTATGTCCGCCACTATCTCTGCCTCTGCCTCTGACTCTGAAACATCTTCTAATGTGGTCCTCGAAATCCATTCTGACTCTGAAATGCTATTGTCCGATGATGAACCCGGCGCAGCCGACATTGCTAAAGCTGCCGTTGCTATGCTTGGGCGCGGCGATGGGGACTATGTAGACCCGAAGCACAACACGAATGGAGAGGAGGAAGATGTGGACAGCGATGAGGAGCCCGAGGCCCAGGATGAGGAGGAGGAGGGGGAGGAGGACCTCGGTACGTGCACCACAGTTTCTAACACTCTTGTCCTGTCGATAAATCTGATGCTCTGATCAGTTTTCAACGTTGAATTTGTTATTCCTGTCACTCCCGGTGCCATTGACACTCTTACCTACTCTTCTGACATGACCCATGACACCTTCACTCAGAACGTAGCTGATGAGATGAATGTGCGGCGTAGAGACCTCCAGATTGGGTACAAGCTCAGTCACTGGACCAAGGACGTCCTGCCGCGTGTCATTACCACTCCCATACATCTGATTCGACTCTTCAATGCCGTACGGGAGGAGCGCAAGACGCGTGCACGCGCGAGAACCGCTCCAAAGAAACCTCTGCAGGTCAATATAATAGACTTACGACCCAAGCAATCCGATAAAACCGAGACTAAGAAGGCGGCGTCCAAAAAACCGAGATCGAAGGCCAGTTTTTGTCGCTATGCCCAACCTTTTTCATACTCAAGCCATCGTTCCAGGCTTCGGCAAAGAAGGCAGACTCCACCGATGATGAAGGCGGGGAAGCACAACCAGAGAAGAAGAAGACTGCACCCCAGTATCTACGCGAGCTCGAGGCGCAGCATAAATGCGAGCGACACGGCGGGTGTTGTCTCGTTGCCAAGAATGGAGAGCACGTCTCGCTGGGGACCCAGAATCTTAGTTTGTGGAGTATGCTTTGTGTTCGTCTCAATCAATATATTTTTCCATTTCATTTCGTTAACTGATATCTTCTCCAGGCCCAAGGAGCTCATGATTCGACGTCTACCCCACCTCCCGTGATGGGCCTACCGTTCGAGACGGGGACGCAAGCCCCACCGCCAAGCCGCCGCACCGCTGCGAGCCAACAGCCACCACCACCCCCTGGCCCTTATCCGTATTACCCACCTGCAGGACCTTATCCCCATGCATACTACCCGCCTGTGCTTGCTCCTGCAGCGCCTCCTCTCCCTGCTGCTCCAACTCCAGCCAAACCTTCGAACGCAGAACCAGATTCGGACGACGACGAGTCCCCAACTCTCTTTCCAAAAATTGACGACTGGCTACTTGAACTTGATACGTCGGAAAGAGGGGAGGATGGGCATGGGTTTCACAAATTTGGGGCCGCACTTCGAGACCAGGGTTTTGCTCGCATTGTACAAATCCTTGATTTCGGTAGTGAGCGCGAGCTGATGAACGTTTGCGAGGGGATGCCAATTGGGGTGGCGAAATTGGTGATGAAGTACGCGAAGGTTGACTGTAAAAAGATTCGGAAGGTGGAGGCGGAGCGGAAAGTGGCTTGGGCGGCTCGCGATTGATTGAGTGTTTTGTACTTTTCTTGTTCAACTGATAATACACTTTTTCTTGACCAATACAATGTATTAGAAGTATCCCGAGTGACGAAACCAGCCCTCTGCATCGGTAGGGGTAATAGAATATACAGCATTATGGAGCTGGGTCAAAACCTCGACTTTATCGTTCTCCGCCTGTGTCGCGGTGCGGAAAGCCTGTCCCTCTCGTCGAATATAAGCCTTCATCTTTGAAAATCCGGGTTCCATTGGATTATAGTCGGGGGAGTACGGTGGTAGATAGAGGCAACGCATCCCGCTGCAATAAAGTGTTGATAAATGTTCATAATGTGTGTAAAGAACACACACGTACCGTGCCTCAATCATGTCACGTATCTCTTCCGCCTTGTGGATTCGGCAGTTATCCATTACAATCACCGAGTTGGGGCCGGGGAATGGGTTCATCTTGTCCAAGAGACCATCAATGAACTCCGCAAATGTTTCGGTCGTAAATGAGCCCTCTAAGATACTGACATAGAGAATACCATCCAACGAAATTGCGGGAAGAACAGAGTAACTGGAGGAAGGTTGGAATGAGGTAGAAGAGACGAGTACACTGCGTACCGTTTACCGCGGATGAAAAACGCCTTTCGCACCGCACGCTGCCCCCGAAAAGCCCACGCCCTGCCACGGTACGATGTCCGGCGGTCGCAAGAACTCTCGTCGACGAAGACCAGCTGTTTAGGCTCATAATAAAGGCCAACTTTATATCGAAATTTTGAACGCTTGACGACGCTCCGCTCAATGGCAACCCGGGTGAGCTTGCAGATGTAAATAATAGGCGTAGTGAGCACTGTGGGATCCCCTACCTTTTTCATGGTGTATCCACTGCGCCTCAGGGCACGCCAAATCGTTGACTGAGACACCACACGGCCCAGGTCTCTTGAAGACCGAGCTGAAGCTCATCGAGGTACTTGTCACAACTCAAATCGAGACAACCTTGAAGATACTGAAGAAGAACAGAAACATCACAATGTGGGATGGTGTCAGGCAGTAAAAACGTACCGCAACATCGTCTGAACAGAGATGTCGTGGTCTCCCAGCTCTGTGTCTTTGACCTGCGGTCAAAACCTTGCCGGTGGACTGAAAACGATTGAAGATACGGTAGATTTGACGGGGACTGACGTCCGTATAGACGTGGATGGTCTTGACGGGGACACCGAGAGCACAGGTGCGCACAAGGGCCCATCTCAGGTCCTCTGAGATAGGTTTGCCTTTGCCCATGGCGGCGGGAAGAGACAAGAAGCGCGTAACGCGTTACCGAGTGACGCGTCTGATGGTGCTTCTTCGACGCGTCGCGACGCGTCCATTCCGGG